CGAAAAGACATGGAGGAAATTTAAATGCATATTACAAAGTGGAAAAAATGCAATCTGAAAAGGCTACATACTGTATGATTTCAACTACAAGTTAAGTATCCCTTATCTGAAATGCTTGGGGCCAGAAGTATTTCCAATTTCAGATTATGAAATATCTTAGGGATGAGGCCCAAGTCTAAACATGAAATTCATTTGTTTTATATATCTTATACAAATAGAGCTAATTTTATACATTTTAAATAATTTTGTGCATGAAACAAAGTCTTTTTTTTTTTTTTTTTTTAGACAGTCTCGCTCTGTCGCCCAGAGTGCAGTGGTGCAATTTTGGCTCACAGAAACCTCTGTATCCTGGGTTCAAGCAATTCTCATGCCTCAGCCTCAGAAGTAGCTGGGACTACAGGCATGTGCCACCATACCTGGCTAATTTTTTATATTTTTAGGAGAGACAGGCTTTTGCCATGTTGGCCAGGCTGGTCTCGAACTCCTGACCTCAGTTGATCCGCCCACCTTGGACTCCCAAAGTGCTAGGATTATAGGCGTGAGTCACTGTGCCTGGCAGAAACAAAGTCTTGACTGCATTTTGTCTACGACCTGTCACATGAAGTCAGGTGTGAAATTTTTTATTTGTGGCATCTTGTTGGTGCTGAAAAGTTTCACATTTTAATGCGTTTTGGATTTTGGATTTTCAGATTAGGGATACTCAACCTGTGTATATGACATCCTGGAAATGACAAAACTATACACTATATAAAGATCAGCGATTGCTAGGGGCTGGAGGAAAGGAGGGATGAATAATAGGTAAGGCACAGAGGATTTTAGGACAGTGAAACTACAATAGTGGATATGGTATAATTTATTTATCCAACCCATAAAATGTGCAATACAGCTAGTGCTCGACTTACGACCACGATCGGGACCGCGGACCGGTCATAACACGATTTGGTCGTAAGTTGAGTAGGCTATATGTACAGTTGAAATGGTGCACGCAGAGATGGTAGTGCTGCCGGAAGCTGGTCCGCACTGTCATACGCCCAGCTGGGCAACGTTTGTGCTGCCAGACGTGAAGCAGTCGTGGCTAGCGATTGTGGTCGTAAAGTCGAATGGTCGTAAGTTGCATAGGTGGTAAGTAGACCAATACCTGTACCAAGAGTGAACCCTAGTGTAAACTATGATCTTTGGGTGATAATCTGTCAATGTAGGTCCATCAATTGTGACAAATGTCACGCTGGTAGGGGATGTTGATAACAGGGGAGGCTATCCATGCATGGGAGCAGTGAGTATATGAGAAATCTTTGTATTTTCCTCTCACTTTTGCTCAGAACTTAAAACTGCTCTAAGAAATAGTTTATTTAAAAAAAGCATGGTGGCTCATGCCTGTAATCCCAGCACTTTGGGAGGCTGAGGCTGAGGTCAGGAGCTCAAGACTAGCCTGGTTAACATGGTGAAACACCATCTTAAAAAAAAAAAAAAAAAAGCAATTCATTTTGTACACATCAGATTGTCAACGATTAATTCCCAGAGGTGGGCATGGAAAATTGGGCGTGATCACAGGCTGCTAACAGGGTGTACAAATTAGCATAAGTTTTCTGGATGGCATTCTGGCAAATGTATCAAAAGCCTCAGAAAATATGCCTACCTTTTGCCTCATTGATTCTCATTATGGGAACTGAATAAACAAAAAATTCTGTAAGTAGGCAAAGTTGTATATACAAGGATGTTCACTGAAAAATTGTTTATGGTGATCAAATTGTAAATGGTGTAAATGATTAACACTAGGGACATATACCACAGAATACTGCACAGCTTATATGGAAAATTATCTTCCACGAAGACTTTTAATGATCTGCACGTTTTAATCAGGGATTTGTTTGAAACCTTTATTAGAAGCAATCCCAAGGCCAGGATAGATATGGATTAAAGAGGTTGAGGGCTGAAGCTGCCACACCTGAGTCTCTCCGGGCCCTCATGGGATTCCCACTACAGGCGTCTGCTTCATTTTTTACTTCTCAGTTTGTCTCCGTGTTTTTTGTGGCCACAAAAACTGTTTCAGTGTGCACTTGTGTCCTCTCGCTCTTTTTCTATGTATATTTTAGACAGGGTCCTGTTCTGTTGCCCAGGCTAGAATGCAGTGGTGCAATCATGGCTCACTGCAGCCTTGATCTCCTGGGCTTGAATAAGCTTCTCATATCTGCCTCTCACTTAGCTGGAGCTACAGGTGTGTGCCACCAACCCAGCTAATTTATTTTTTGTAGAGATGGGGTTTCGTCATGTTATCCAGGCTGGTCTCGAACTCCTGGGTTGAAGTGATCCTCCCACATTGGCCTCCCAATGTGTTAGGATTACAGGAGTGGGCTACTGCGCCCTGCCTCCAACTCTGTATTACTTTTGGGTTCAGGTGCCTAAAAAATACCAACCAGAATCTGTTATCCAATGTCAAATTCCTATGGGCATCTAAAGCCTGGCTTGAGGGTCCCTTCCTGAGCCAATCATCAGTGGTTGGAGACAGGTCACGTGGCAGCTGCACACTCAGGATTATGGCAGGAGCAGATTAAAACAGGGTGTGAGGACAGGTAAATTGACTATCCTGTCTGCTACAGATAAAAACTGTTCAAGATATAAAGTCCAGTGAGAAGAGTCAATTGTTTATGTGTGAAAAGTATCAGTTACCTACAAATACCCATTAAGATGTTGTATCTGTACCATGAAACAAGATTTTACATTTTTCAAGTTTTTTTAAACAATGAATATCAACTTCTTTCAGACATAAATTTAATAAGAATATATGAAGATATTAATAGACAATTAGGATTACTTTTTCCCTTTCCTATGTTTCCGTACTACTTTTTTTTTTTTTGAGACGGAGTTTCGCTCTTGTTCCCAGGCTGGAGTGCAATGGCGCGATCTCGGCTCACCGCAACCTCCGCC